AGTAGATGCATTTAGGAATCTTTAAGATTACTTACAACAGAACAGCAATGCATTTTATGGACGACCGTTTCGTGAACCTAGGAGAGGAGGTCATTCTGACTTTGCTATGACAATCTGGCGCTTCTGAATCAGCTACTGTTTTGTTATTAGTTTAATTATTTGCTATTGACAGTTTTGCGCATCGTGTGTGTGTGTGTGTGTGTATGCGTTTTTGTGACAAATGAGGACATAAATTTGTATAATGACAAAGGTATGACATAGGTATTACAAGGAGAAGGTGACTTTTCAGGACATTACCCCATGTCCCCACTTTTCAAAACGCTTATAAATCACACAGAATGGAGTGTATTGAAAATCTGAAATAGCACAAAGTCTCCTGTGAGGGGTAGGTTTAGTGGTAGGGTTGGTAAAGGGCAATAGAATATACGGTCTGTACAGTATAAAAACCATTACGCCTATGGGATGTCCCCACTTTCACAAAAAAAAAACCTGAGTGTGTGTGTGTGTTTGTTTGTTAATATTAAAACGATTAATTATTACATAGTAAAATTACATATTAAAACATTAATGCAGGGCTGTGAAGCGATTAATATACACATATTAAAATATTTATGTTTTAAAATAAACTACTGTACGGTAAGTAAAAAAAAATCCATAAGTAAATACAATATAAGTATAAATCATCAAATACATCAACTGCCTAAACCCAGCACTGAAGAGTGACAGCCTGGCTATTATTGTATAATATATTATTGTATATATTATATAATATTGTAGAAACTTAATTTGCTGAAAAGTTGCTTTGCAATGATTTGTATCGTGAAAAGCGCTATACAAATAAACTTGAATTGAATTAGCTGTCATTTGTAGTAAAAGGGCGACATCTAGTGTTATTAAGCCATTTTTATTTTATTTTATTTTATTTTATTTCATTTCATTTCATTTCATTTCATTTCATTTCATTTTATTTTAAAAACTAAAAAAAAAACTCAAGATCACATGACTTTTCAAAAACAAACAGAACTTTACCCCTGGAGTTTGGCTTCACTTTAATATTTGACTCTGTATTTGTATTTATACAGGTGAGAAACATCTGTGTCAATATTGAGTAGCAATGATTAGCTACCACAAAGTATAAAAGCTGATACCTTATGTGTTATTTCCATAAACATTCCAATATATATATATATATATATATACAGTGGGTACGGAAAGTATTGTCTTGCTCTACTGCTATACTGTCTGTCACTTAGGGAGGGACAAAAATTACTGCAAAGCATCAGGATTTACAATTGAGATGTGAAAGAAAGCATTGCAGAGTTCAGATATAGATATGCTTTGTGTAAAACTCATGACTAAATACCATGGAATTTATTAAAGTAGTTTTCCTCAAAATAGTTTTGCAGATGGTATAGAAAAATTAAGATAAAAGGATACAACAAGGAAAAGAGAAATATACACTACTGTGTTCCTGATTCTTCTTTTTGTTAATTTCGAGAACAGGACTTTACTCTTGAGTTTGGCTTTACTTTATGACATACCACATTCTTTCTTGTAATTGGATGAGTAATATCTGTGCCAATAAAGGCTAGTAATGATTAACTATGTCAAAGCCTGTTTGTGTTATTTTCATAAACCCAAGTGTTTTGTCTGTATCAGGATGAAGGTGAGTGTTGCTCTCCTGCAGCTGCTGTGCTGTCTTCTGCTCACTGATGGACAAACTGAGGTGCAAGATTTTGTGGCCAATGGAAAAAACAACGAGCCCAACATCTGGACTGAGGTGAGAGATATAAGAGACATGGTGGTGGAGCTCAAAGTCAAGTTGGACATGGCGATGAAAGAGAATGCAAGTTAGTACTAGCAGTTGCTTCGTTTGTCACCTTTTAAATAGTTGAGCAGTTTAAAATAAATCTTTCAAATAATGGATACAAGTCATTTAAATAAACACTCATTAGATCATTATTATTTTATAGAAATGGCAGAACAAATGCAGGAGCTGAAGAAAGAGAATGCAGGTATTTAAAAGTGTATGCGGCCATTCTTTTTAAATTAAAATGTAACAAAATATTAAAGCACATGTAAAACAATAAAATAATAAAGCATGAATACATTGTTAAGAAGCATACTTTGTTCTGGGGAAGACACTGTTATGTTGGAAGAAAAAAAGTCTTTATTTCGCATATGAAACGCATCATATGCTTCTTATGTGTATCAGTTACAATTAATGATTTTACTAATTTTAGGGATTATTGATCAAATAAAAATAACTGAAAACTAGCTGGAAGGAATTAAGAGAGAAAATGTATTAATTAAATGATTCTTCTTCTTCTTCTTCTTTTTGTATTATATTTAAGGGATTATGTACAGGCAGCCTTTATTACACAATAAATATTATTGTATAACTCTGAAATAACTCGTTTTGTTTCTGGTTATGTTATGTAGTAAAAACTGCTTAAAATATTTTCCGTCCACAAAACAACCAAAAGTGGCATTTTCAGCTGACTTAGGCATGCGTGGTGATTTAGTTCCTCAGAGTACTGAGATCACACTGACATTTAACCACATCTTCACAAACATTGGTTACAACTACAATCCAGCAACAGATACCTTGAGCAAACATAGCCAATGCCATGCCTAAAGGATAACATCCCGTTCTAATTTTCATCAGGCTCATTCTACATTTGATCTGAATGTTTTGTCAATGGCGGGTCTCTTCACTGCACCAGTTAAAGGAGTCTACTACTTCAGATTCACTGCATGTGGTACTCAAATCAGACAATCACTGGGTGCAAGTTTACATAAAAATGGGCAGAAGATTGTGTCAGTAGGTCAGTGGCGTAATCACGATGAGCACAGATATGCATCAAATGGAGCTGTCCTGCAGCTGGAAGTGGGTGATGTAGTTTGTGTGAAACTCCTCCCAGGTTACACCATCTATGACAGTCCAGATAACCTCAGCACTTTCAGTGGATTCCTCATTTACCCATTAAAGTGATCAACCATTGCACACTGTACTAAGTTTTGTTGATTTCCTAATGAAAGACAAATTTACTAATCTGTGCTCTTTCTACATTAGTTTTGAGCTCTCATTTAAATAACTTCTAACTGGTTGTTCAGAGAAAACTGCATGAATCACACTTGTGCTGTATTAATCATATACTCCATATGGAAAAATATAACTGCAATAATGCTCTCACATGCTATTGTTTGTATTAAACACATTTGTATATAAACCTCTGTACTATCTAATAACATTCTTACCTAAAATAATAATAATAATAATATAATACATTGTATTAATAGTATATTAAATGTATTTATTTAAATATTCTAGATTTTAGCATTCTGAAACAACAGAATCTTTGGGAGGAAAAAAATAATAGGTACGTTCCTGGGATTTTAGTGAATTACATTGTAGTGCATGATATGCAGAATCTCTGATCATATTGTTGTTAAAGGCTGACATCTAGTGTTGAGTTTTGGACATGTGAACGTAGTAAAACATTACTAAACAGATACAATTACAGCTATTGATAATTATTTACAATAAAAACACCTGTAAATTATGTGTGTGTGTATATATATATATATATATATATATATATATATATATATATATATATATATATATATACTGTATATATAAAATTGTATAGCAAAATGGTGATTTCCTTGTGGATGCAAACATTCCTTTTCACCCCATTTTTTTTTTGTGAGACCAGTGAAATGGGAATTGATAGATGTTGTGACTTTTTAAAATTCAGAACTGGTCTAAACTAACTTTTCAGTGTACATCGTTTTCATATAAGATGCATACATAAGATATGTGCATATTATATCTGTAGAAATCAGATTATTCCAACAATACAATTTTAAATGTTATTTGTCATTTTCCCAAATTCGCTTTCTTAAATTAGTTATATAGGAAATAATACACAGTAAAGCACATGTTATTACACAGTGGACAGGCTTTAAATCTGAACAACTTTAAAAAAAAAAAAAAAATTTAATATTATTTTTGTTTTTTATTTCCCTACCTTCAACAGTTTTAAAATAATGATAAATCACATATAACATATAACAAATTACATTTTATTTCACAGTGAACACGCTTTATGTAAAAAGCTAAACATTCCTTTACTACATCCATCAATCTGTTTTTCTATAATGTTGGTAATTTTCACACAACCCCTTGGCATAGCAGAACCTCTCTCTCTCTCTATCTCTCCATTTCTATCTCTCTTTCTCTCCCCACCCTGCCTAATTTCATCTGAATTTAGGATGCCTTTGACCCAGCACTGGATATGCATATGTGAAACAGGGTGAGACAGAGCGATAGGGTGAGGGACAGACAGGAAGAGTGACTCAGAGAGAGAGAAAGAGAGAGTGCGCAAGGCTGAGGACACTGATCAATGCATCTTTGTGCTTGCTGCCTCAGCAAGTGAAGGTGAGAGCAAATCAAAACAAATGAAAAGCAGACGCCTCTGGAGAGAAGCAAACAGCCTCCAATCAGCCTCTGAGGGAGGATGATTACTGTCCGTGGTGAGCTAGAGGAGTGACTGTCAAGGCAGGTGCTGTTTGAACACAAGCTCATGTGCAGATTTGAGTCATCTTAGAGTCTCCTCACTGCACCCACTTACTGGACAACAAGACCTTTTGTGGATACTGAAACCTATAGAAAAAGACCTGCAACATGGCAGGAAGCTTTGGGGGTTTGAGTCTCAGGATGTAACTGAAGGTAGGTGCTTGTTTATGTACAAAATAAAAGTCTATTGTTTTGTGTTGTGGACTGTATCGTATTTCTGCACGATGTAACTGATTCCAAACAGTTAGTCGCTGTGCCAGAGCCGTGGCCTAGCGGTTAGCGCATGAGCTGTGGCGCTCATGTAAACGATGCAAGTTTGAATACAGCTCGCAACATTTCTTGATCCTATTCCTCAGCTTTTCTCGCCATCTTTTTGTGTTCATCTGCAATTAAAGGCTGCATGATTGTTGTGATATCTGAAGGAAAGACTGTGAGTCTTGTGCTTCATAGACTACAATCTTTCCTAGACTGACTTCAGCCTGTTGTCATGTGTGGTGCCACAGCCTGGTGCCACCCAGAGGGGTCAGTTTGACATCCACAACAGAACATCAAGAAAGAGAGATGCTAGGGGGAATGAACAACAAGATGATCTGAAATGTTTGCACATTCAAGGCTGGGGGCTGAGGGAATGTGTGTGTGTGTTCACTGGAAATGTGATGGCGAAACAGTAAGTGCTGATTGGAAAGTGATTCACATTCACAGCATAGTTGCAATGTTTACTGTGAATCTCAAAGTACCATAGTTCTTTCTATTTTTTCATGCCATGATATTATTTTTCAAAAACATACATAAATGTTTGTTTTTCTATCATGGAGTGGGACTTCATCCCACAAACCTCTCACAAACCTTTCTGATTTTCATTCATTTTTAAACTACTGTCTACACACTGAATAAAGGTAGTATAATGAAAAATGAGTGACTGCAAATGTAAATAAATACAATTATGTAAATGACAACAAAGTAATATCCAGCAGTTCTCTAATAATAATAATAATGTTTGTTTAGAGAATCCATATATATATATATATCAAACACAGCTGGACTCAAATGAAGGTGTAGAACCATCTCAAGGATGATCAGAAGAAATGGACAGCACCTGAGTTAAATATATGAGTGTCACAGCAAAGGGTCTGAATACTTAGGACCATGTGATATTTCAGTTTTTCTTTTTTAATAAATCTGCAAAAATGTCAACAATTCTGTGTTTTTCTGTCAATATGGGGTGCTGTGTGTACATTAATGAGGAAAAAAAATTAACTTAAATGATTTTAGCAAATGGCTGCAATATAACAAAGAGTGACAAATTTAAGGGGGTCTGAATACTTTCCGTACCCACTGTATATATATATACTGTTTTGGTCTATATCTTTATTAAGTGTACAGCCAGTAAGCTGTTTTTTTTCACACATATGAAGCAATACATGTGCAACTGAGTGCAATATTTTTTTCTCATTAATACATTATTTAATATGTTATTTACCATATTTATGCATGAACAGGTTCCCACAATATAGATAATTTGAGTTTGTACTATCCTTTTGAGTACATTTGTCCTTAAAATGTAGGCAAAATGTTACGCACGAACACATTTTCGAAACATTCACTTATTAGAGTGGCTCATTAGAAAATGTACTGTCAGTCACTGATTAACACCCTCTTTGTCAGGCAAATTATCAAGGTGCCCAAGGTGGGTTGAATGAGAGAGAGGGCAGCCGAGCCTGGCTGGCGGGGGGCCAGGTGTAGCAGCGGAAAGGAGAGAAAGTCAGGTCAGAGCAGAACAAAACGTTTGTCAGTGTGTGAAATATTTAATTAGTCACACACACACACACACACACACACACACGCACACACACTCATGTTGACAGTTTAACTGAGCAAACAGACCACAGTTTCTCTATATTCCTGGAAACTGTACATATTAATTTTTTGCATAGATAGATCAGAAGTAATGCAAACTGAATATGTTACAGCACACTTGTACCCGCTCTCTCTCTCTTTCTGTTTGATATCACTCTGTTCTTTTGATTTCACTTTGTTCTCTCTCATCTTTTTTGCTTACTCTTTCCAAATTGGATTCATCTAGTTTAGGCAGGAAGGTCTTTTGTACATTCTATTATCAGGTCTTGTGCTCTGGAACAGAAATGTCGTTTCTGAAGCATTGCATGAGGTTTCTTCTTCTTCTTCTTCTTCTTCACACGTCTCATAATAGATTGCACCCACAAATTTTGCATTTTCATCCAATGCCTTGATATAATGTATTCATTTCAAAATTAACTGCAGGCGGTAGCAGATGGTTGATACTTTGCAGTTTTTATTATGTGGGTCATTGTCAGAAAACAGTGCAATTTGTGCAACATGAATGTGTGTCCCCATGACTGACTAATGATATAATTTACAGAATACTGAACTTAGTTGCATTAGATGATGGATTTGACTCTAATAAGTGTGCAATGCAAATGGAATTGTAGTTAAAAAAACCTTATAGATTAAATATAAATGAAAAAAATGTTTCTGATTTTGTACATTCTATTATCAGGTCTTGTGCTCTGGAACAGAAATGTCGTTTCTGAAGCATTGCATGAGGTTTCTTCTTCTTCTTCTTCTTCTTCACACGTCTCATAATAGATTGCACCCACAAATTTAGCATTTTCATCCAATGCCTTGATATAATGTATTCATTTCAAAATTAACTGCAGGCGGTAGCAGATGGTTGATACTTTGCAGTTTTTATTATGTGGGTCATTGTCAGAAAACAGTGCAATTTGTGCAACATGAATGTGTGTCCCCATGACTGACTAATGATATAATTTACAGAATACTGAACTTAGTTGCATTAGATGATGGATTTGACTCTAATAAGTGTGCAATGCAAATGGAATTGTAGTTAAAAAAAACCTTATAGATTAAATATAAATGAAAAAAATGTTTCTGAATAAAATAAGTTTATTAAAATTAAAATATGTTACTTGTACTATGTAGTTTTTCCCCTAAAATACTTTTTTTTTTTTAGAATTTATCTATTCCTTCACTACCCCTTCATGAGTGACATCAAAATTTAGATAAAGAGAAGTTTCTCTTATCGCTATCTATCTATCATCATCCTTATAGATTAAATATAAATGAAAAAAATGTTTCTGACTAAAATAAGTTTATTAAAATTAAAATATGTTACTTGTACTATGTAGTTTTTCCCCTAAAATACTTTTTTTTTTTAGAATTTATCTATTCCTTCACTACCCCTTCATGAGTGACATCAAAATTTAGATAAAGAGAAGTTTCTCTTATCGCTATCTATCTATCATCATCTGTCTGTCTGTCTGTCTGTCTATCTTATTTGTTTACTGGCCTCATCAAGTTCAATATTCATCTGTTATGGGCTAACAATCGTATACAGAATATAATACAGAATTGTTCTTTGCACAAAGCACAATAGTATTTGAAATTTGCTAGTTTAGGCCATTATTTGCCATTTTTACACTAATATTCAATCCTGGGAAATAAAACCCCAAAACATTTTTAATGAAACTGCGCTGGGGAAAAACGATTTTTTAGACATGAAAACAAACAAACAAATACATTTTTTTTTAAAAACAAAAACAGCAGCGTTTTCTGAGCATGACTCATGTATCAGGGTATTTGTAGCCCAAACAACATTCATTACTATTCACCTTTTGTCTGTCTTTTTCAGTCTATTTACTTCCAAGAGTTCTCCTTCTCTTTCCACCTCAGGTGCTTCATAGTGGTCAAATCCATTGCTTTCCACTCAAGTCTGCCTGGACCAGTTATACCTGAGATGGGTAGACGGGCAGCTGATCACACCACTCCAGTGCCAGTTCTTGGAGAACCTGCACTTGTTGGGACACGCATCTGGAGGACCGTGGCAAATGGGACCAATAGTATGGCAACCCTCACACTGTCTCATCACTGTAACGTCGGTGTGCAGACGTCACCTGCAATGAAAAACAACCAACTACAGCTAAACGGCAAACATGTGGATACTTGTAGCAGTCAATCAGAAAACAAAGTGATCATGCCACCTAACGGCCACATCCCAAACGAGGCTGGTAAACAGGAGGATAACGGAAAAGAAAAAACTAAAAGTATCATTTATAAACGAAAAAGTCTGGAGACTAAAATGAAAAAGGGTGTGACTTTTGAGGGACTGGAGAGGGATATTTGTAAAAACATCAGGGAAGAAGTCCAGTGCCATAATTGTCCAATCAGAACCAGTCCTCCGTTGAGAGGTGTGGCTAACAACAGGTTAAAACCGAGAAGGAATTGTCACTTCACCAATGGGAGTGTGGTTGACTCTGAGGTAATGGGTGGGATCAGCAGTGACATCAGTGAAGGGGTGGAGTCTACCACCGGAAAGAAAAAAACATTACCTCCTCGCTCACCTCCTCACAGACCTCCTGTGACCATCTGCAGCACTTGTGGGGGAAGACAGAATCCAACACCTCCTGGACTTTACAGCCAAATAAGGATGTTTACACCGCCAACTTCCGCAGGTTCTCTGGGACTCCAGTCAAGACATTCATCCCCTCTTTACCCTGGGAAGGACGTGCAGGAATACACGCAGATAGAAAGGCACACCGACCGCAGTGCTACACAGTCAGACCAGCACCTCATGAGCCCTAACCTTCATTCTTATCTCAATATGAATATAAACAAGGAATGGCCATTATCTCTGCTGCCTGCTCAGCAGAGTGAGGCATCAAACCTCACTAATCATCACGCAGTCAAGAGGGAATCTAGCGCTGACACACACATTAATCATATCAGTCGCTCATCGGCTCTAAATACACGCACGCTCACTGTTACCGTGAAAGAGGATAGAGCCTCAACAAAGGTCATAAACACACACTTGAACGCTCACAAACCTCACAACTCTTGTCCCTGCAGACCTCCTGTGACTGTCAACCCTCCCCAAACACACAAAAACAGCCTGTCAGAGAAGCTAGAAGCCACACAGGTGACAAATACCAGAATACCACACACAAACACTCACTTTAGATCATCTCACCAGCCAAACCCTGATGAGAAACGACCAACTCAAAGAAACCAAGTCGCAACTACACACTCAGAGTCCCCCCAGCCCCAAAATAAAATACACATCAAACCTTTGCAAACTACTTTGAAACAACAAATGTTCCCCCAAACTAGCACACTGCAGAACTCCAATGCACTTTCAAAATGCTCACGGTTAAATCAGACAAGCACACTTTCGAAATCCCCTGCCTGTTTTCATTTGCATTCAAATGTTAAATGCCAAACTATAGTGCAGAGTTGTGTGAATGAAGGTGTCATATCCTCCACTGCTTCAAACATTCACAGACAGGTTCAGTTCACTAATGGACTAGAGTCCAAGTTTGACACGCACACTAAACCGTCAGTGTGCTCACACACAAATTTCAGCATTAAACCTCAAAGCGGGACGCAAATCTGTGCTGACACAGAGTCAGAATCATCACCCTGTGATTCACATTCGCATTCTGCACTGGTGACACACGCACATAAACTCTCAGGGCCTCACGGTGAACCACGTCACGCATCGATACACACAGGCACTCCTTCGCCCACCGACACGCACAAGGAAGCTTCTTACACATCCACACAGCGAACAAACACCAGTGGAACATCACTGCAGGGTATATCCGTGCATAAAGACGCACTGTCACATCCTTATCATGAGTCAAAAAGCCAAAATGACACTTGTTTGTTTTCACATGCCCCAAATATGTCAACCCATCACAAAGCAACACTTACTACACAAACAATCAACCATCAGAACCTCTCAAATGCATTTACCGCCATGCAGACGGAGGTGGAGGTGCATTCGTACACCAAAGAACGTTCTCAAGCAAGCCCTGGTGTCAAAGCAGCCTCGCGCGCTTTGTGTGTTCATTTGAAAACGCCACGTAGGCAGACAGAGCCTACTTTCAGACGGTCTGTCCTGAATCAGCTTAATAATGACACTCTTGAGTCCTCATTACTAGCCATCGCTTCCGCTAGGGCTTTTCCTCAAGCTACTACACACAACAGGACTGAATTGAAATCTTGGAGTGACACAGAGTCAAAGAAACAAACTGATATTAAGGCAGTGGAACCAGAAGGTCAAATGACCAATGGCTCACAACACTCGCTTCAACCTCCAAACAAACCACCTCCTTCTTGTCGACCTCCTAAACCTTCTTCTGCACCTCCACAAGCACCAGCTTTTAAATTCGTAAATGGGAACCTGAATGTGACCTCCAATCAAAACCCACTTTTGGATCCCTCAGACACTTTGCCTACAGAGCACGCACAGAAAGACGGGAGTCTCCAGAACTCAAAGGCACAGATGGAATCTCGTTCTGAAGCGGTTGGCTCCATCCCAAGTGAACGCTGTTCCATAATGCATGACCATCCGGATTCTGCAGTAAGGTTGCTGCCTGCATCCCCTAAATGTGGCAGTCTGTGGGACCCTAAGTGTAGATTAGAGATGGTAGAGGCGAGTCTGCAGTCAAACAAGGAAAGAGTCACAACTCTGCTCAACGTCATCCAGGACCTGGAGATGAGCCATGCAATCAGCAAAGGGTGAGAGACGGAGTTATTCCAAGATTAGCAGATAATAGACAAGTGTGACTGGCGAGCTGGATGTGTTAAAGGTAATTGTGAGAAATGTTTTAGAGCTGAGGTGCAGGGAAAAAGGGTAGTTGTAGTTTAATTTGATGTACATTTGGTTTTATCTCCAAGCGTAGGTCACTAAGGGCTATAAATGAGCTCTAACTGCATTTATGGATGTGAATGTGAGGCATGCTAAAACAATGCCTTTTAAAATCTTTTTCCTTGCCTGCTATTTATGTAGTCGGCGATGTTTTCGGACTGGCCAAGACCTCAGTGATTGTTCCACCTGTCAGAAGACCGCATGTGCTGTCTACAGGTGAGAGCACCCAGTGAGACTACTAATCATTTTAAAGGGGTAGTTCTCCCAAAATGGACAATTCTGTCATCATTTACTCACCCTCATATTGTTCCCAACCAGCAAGGCTTCTTTCTTCTGTGGAGAGCAAAAAAATATATTTTTAAAATGTCTCTGTGTTTCAGAGAGACAGTGTCTCAAATTACCTTCTTTTGTGTTCATCAGAAGAAGGAAAGTCAGGTTAGAGGTTTATAACGACATGCAGGTGATTAAAAAATGACAGAATTTTCAGTTTTGGGTGAACTACCCCTTTAGGAATGAACTTTAGTACTTTATTGTGTTATCCAATTCAATACAATTAGATTCATATTCCCACATTTCCATAGACACATTTTTTCTTCTTCAGTGTTTTATTACTTTCTCCCACCGCCCGTAGGTTAATAATAATAATTAAAAAAAAAGAATTTAATAATATTTTTAGAAAAATCTTTTGTCATTATATTCTATCATTATTCATGTATTGTATAGTATAATAATGGCAAAATAATAGTAGAAAAAGCACAGATTTTAGTAATTACACACACAAACATATATTTGTTGATAATACATACAGTATACTATGTGTGTACACTACCTTTGAGAAATGAATACATTAATACTTTAATAATCTTTGGCAAGGATGGATTAAATTGATTGAAAAGTGACAGTAAATACATTTATAATGCTGCTCTTTTGGACTTACTTTTTAACCAAAATTCAAAAAAAAAAAAATCTCAACAGTGATAATAAGAAATGTTACTTGAGCACCAAAATCAGCATATTAGAATGATTTCTGAAGGTGACACTGAAGACTGGAGTAATGAATGGTTGTGCAAATGCATGTAATTCCAAGGGGAAAAAATAACTATGAAGCATTAACAATCATATAGAATGCTCTCTTCTCTGTCCCCCTACCTTTTCCCTTATCTCTTTCCCGCTTTTCCTATTCACTCTTTGGACTAGTGTGGAGTATGACTTCCGTCAACAAGAGAGAAGATTCAAGGAACTCCTCCAGAGTCTGTGCCCATCATGCCCAGAGAGGAAAGAAGGATATGAAGGATCTCTTTCTTTACTCACCTCACTCATTCAGAATCACAAATTACACCAGCTAAATGCAAACATTATGACCCAAAGCCAATCTGAGAGTCAAACCCACAGACAGCCTCAGATTATTTCTCAGATTCAGTGCCAGATTCGGTCTCAGTCTCAAACTCAGCCGCAGCCACAGATTCAGTCTCGGCATCAGCCGCAGCCACAGATTCAGTCTCGGCCTCAGGCTCAGCCACAGATTGTGTCTCGGATTCAACCTCAGATTCAATCTCAGTCACAGATTCCGTTTCAGCCACAGATTCAATCTCAAAATCAGATTATATCTCAGATTCAATCCCAGACTGAGATTACGCCTCAGATTCAGTCTCAGATTCAGTCTCAAGGTCACCCCCAGAATCAGTGCCTGTTCAAAGCTAAAATCAAAAGGAAGAAATTATGCAGGAAGCTGTTTAGCTGGCTGCCACACAAAGTCCAAAGTAAATGATTACATAATGCCAAGTATCTGATTTTCATGCATGACTCTCAACCCTCTGGTATGTGGAGTCACAACTCATTTTTCTCCTAATGCAGTCGGAAGTCTGATATATTTTGTGGAATGGAGCAATATTACATGGCATTCTGTGACTGAACTACCCAGGAGGATTTAAATTATGAAACTAGTTTTCCTTGGAAAATGAAATTGTACAACATTTACTTTAAAAATTAATTATACTATTTCTCTACAGTTACAATGAACATGATGCTTGCCTTGACTAGTTATGAAGGGTTTTGCACTTAAGATGCTTTTTTAGGACATGACATTATGAGTATATAGTTCATCACTTCCTTTTTGATCTTCAAAATGGACAGCTATCATCTGTTAAAGCCAGAGGACTGTGATGGGACTGACATATGGAGCTTCAGTGGCTAAATTTTAGCTAAATAAACCACAGATTCAAGGTTATGCAACAAAGATGGTTGTTTTGCCTCTTTTCTTTCAAATCCAGCCAAATCCAGCCCGCACACATGCCCAAACATAAATAAGCAACTTTCACATGAAATAACACAGCAGTGTTAATTTACTGTTTTTGATTTAGTCATAGTGTTGTAGGTAGCAATATATGTAATTTGTCATATTGCTTTGCAGCTCTGTGATATGAGCTTCAATTTCAATTTTTTTTTGAAATATTTAAATATTAAATTTTATTCACAATTATTAAATCTATGTCTATATAAAGACATAACTTATGGCTCTGTTTGACTTTTGACAAAGATATCCTATAAAGTTAGTTTTAAGCTTTGTCATGTCAAACATCAAACATTACATATATACTGTATATATAAATAAAATATATAAACAATATATATATAT